GGGAATTGCAGTATTAAGTAGTTGCAGTGAAAGATAAAATGATGTGTTTGCTCTGCGATGCTATAATTGCAAGTGAAGAAATACAATGCATATCAGCACTATGCAAATCATAAGGACTACAAATATGCTAAACTGAAAGGAGAACCCTGAAAGCCTGCACTTAAGAAAATGAAAGATCAAAAGCATTAGCAGCGAGTATTTAAAACGATGTCAGGACAAGGGACTGACATCACTGAAGCAACTTATAAAGTAGCATATACCTGGAAGAAGAGGTGAGCCCTTTAGTGATGTGGAAATCATGAAAGAATGCATTGTTGAAGTTGTAAGATAAGGTTAATAAGTACAAACAACTACCTCTTTCTAGAAGGCCCATAACTGATTGGCAACGCGAATTTGCCCTCAATGTAACAGAACAACTTCATACAATATGCCAAAGCAAAGACATTTATTGTTCAATCACCTTGAATGAATCCACTGACATTACTGACTCAGTGTGCAAGTGTTATTTTTAATTCATGTTATAGCTGCAGATTTTCACTGCCACGAGGTGTTACTGGCTTCGGGCATCCTTACGGCGAGGACATGTGGAATTGACATCTTCACTACCTTCAAAGAAAAATGCTGTGAAGTGAAACTGAACTTATGTAATTTAGTAAGTGTATGCATAGACAGTGCACCTTCTATGAGGGGAAAATGTGAAGGATTTGTTGCATTACTACAAAAAGAACTGTCAGATCCAGATACTTTGATTCCTTTCATTGTCTTTTACTTAAACAGAATCTCTGTACCAAATCTACTGTTTTAGGTGACACATTAAATAAAGGTATAGGTATTGTAAACTACATTCCTGCAAATGCATCACAGCATCACCAATTTTGCAACATGTTTCAGTTTGATGATGAAACATTGTGTGGATCTGTCATATCATTCTAAAGTGTGCTGGCTGTCACAAGGACAAATCCTTGTAAAACTTTTATCTTTGCAAAAACAAATCACAAGATTGTTTGAGCAACTGAGTGAATTGTCAAAGGAGGATTTCTGCAGAAATGCTGCATTTTGTGTGATACAATGTCAAAGCAAAATGATCTGATTTTTCCTTCCTTTGCAAGGTAATACTAAACCTATATATGATAAGTGGCTAAAATTCCAGGCGTTTCGGAAAAAGCTGACCTTTTTCAAAACTCTCTTTGCCTGATCGGAAATTTCAGCTGAACATGTTCCTGAACTGGCAAAGGTAATTAAAGAACAGGATTCAAGCAAATCATTAAGGAAATGTGATGTGAAAGAATATACAGCTGTTCTAGACTCCCTGATTGAAGAAGACAATGAATGGTTTGCAGATTTTGAGAAGCATGATCTTACACTGAAACTAGCTTTTCAACCACAGCTCATTGATTTCTGCAAAGCACCTGATGACTTACAGATGGAATTGATTGAGCTCTCAGAAGATAATATTCTAAAGTCTCTATTTGACTCGAAGAAGGATCCCATTGTAATGTGGAAAATGCCACTGAATACCCACATCAATGTCAACATGCTCATTGATTGCTGTCTTGTTCTGGCACAACCGACTGTTGTGAATCAACATGTTTGTATGTTGATTAAAACGTGCTTGAGATCTCAGATGACAGATCAGGAGGACCAATTAAAGCTACGGTCAACGATGTTGGAACCAAATACTGGATTCCTATCTTGCAATAAGCAATCACAGAATTGTCATTAAATGGTTTGTTATCTAAATTTTTCACTTATTATTAGTTCTAATGTCAACTTTGCCGAACAAATAAATGTGTCTTTGCTGAATTTTTATTTTGTTCACAGTCCTCATATAACAGCAGGCTTTAATTAAAACTAGTAAATTTGTCGACAAACATATGACATTTTGTTGTATATGTTAAATTCTCAGTATGTGGCCTAATAGGATCTCAGTTAAATAAAATGTGGCCTTCCAATGTCAAAAGGTTCCCCATCCCTGTCCTTAGTCATTCACGGTATTCCACCTTTTGATACACCATATTTATTTCTAATGGGCATGTTCCTAGCTTGCATCTTATTCATCTCTCTTTTGAAAGTCTCCCATTTTTCATCCATTGTTTTATCTACCAAGATGCATTTCCAATCAACGAGCTCCAGTTCAATGTTTAAACCCTTAAAATCTGCCCTTTTCCAATCTGGGATCTTAATTCTTGACTGATTTTTATCCTTTTCTAACTTAATATTGAAGCTCATTATATTATGATTGCTATTTCCCAAATGCTCCTCCACGCTGACTTTCTCCACTTTTCCTAGGACCAGACCAGTAAAGCTTCCTCCCTGGTAAGACTGGAAATGTACTGTTCTAGAAAGTTCTCCTGCACACATTGCAGGAATTTCTCTCTTCCTATGCTCCACATTCTCCCTTTTTCCCACTGTCCTCTAGGGTAATTCAAATCACCAACTATCGCAACTCGACTTGTCCTGCAGATTTCCATAATCAGCCTACAAATGCTCTATCTTCAACTTCCTCAACCATTGTTTGGAGGTCTATAACAAAAACCTAACAAGGTAACTGCTCCCTTCCGGTTTCTCACCTCAAAACCATATAGATTCTAATTCAAGCAACTGTATCTCCTTCAAGGACTCTGATACTATTTTTGACTGAGACTGCTAAATATCCTTCCTTTTTAGCCAGTTCTGATAAAAGCCATATAATCCAGAATGTTAAGTATAGAGTCCTGTCCTAACTTAAGCCGCATTTCTGTCAATACCACAATATCATATCCTTCTCGAGCAATTTCTGTTTCTACTTCCCCAATTTTGTTCACTATACTTCATGCATTTACATGCATAGTTTAACCCTACCATCATTACCCATTCAAAGGCAACCACTTCTTAGTCAACTGTCAACAGTCATGCCTTCCCTCACTTACCTTTCCCCATCTTCTCTCTTTTACCCTCTTTGGTTCTTCCAACACTAGGCCCATTAGTTAACCCATCCCCCACCTTACAAGTCTATATCCACCCCCATTACACTGTTTATTCTCTCAACCAGGAGATTAGTTCCAATTCTGCTCAGGTGAATCCCATCTCATCTGAACAGCTTTTCTCTTCCCCATAAGTGATCGTAATGTCCTAAAAATCTAAACCCTTCCCTTCTACACCATCACCTTCAAGTCACGCATTTACCTCCCTGATCTGCCTTTGCCTAAGCTCATGGCACAGGTAATATTTCTGAGATTACTATCCTGGAGGTGCGGCATTTCAACCTACTTCCTAACTCCTGAAATTGATACTGAAAGTCCTCTGCATTATCCCTCCCTAGTCACTGGTTCCCATATGAACCACAATCGCTGGTTGTTCTTCTCCCTTTCCACTTGTTTATCCAGCCATTCTATTACATCCTGAACTCTCGCACCTGGGAGGCAGCAGACCATATGGGACTCACGATCTTGGCCGCAAAGTAAGACTGTCTGTCCTTCAGACTAGTTGTCACCCACTACAACTACCTTTTTAATCTGCCTAAGCTCCTCTCTCTCTTCTCTCAGAATAGCCTTGGACACCTGTTACTATGGTCTTCCCTCAGGTCATCCACCCCCGACTTACTTGTGTTCTTCACTAAATAAGCATCCAAGATTTCAGACCTGTTAGACAGCTCCAAGGAGCTCATTCGCTGGACCTGGTGTGTCATCTCCTTTCAGCGAATAGTCACTCATTTACCTGCCATCTCCACTCTCCTCCTTGCCTGCCTATCATAGCTAATTTGATTTTAGATTCAACTCTACTGTGCACCAGATTCTAATAATCTTGCATCCCCTCAGTCATCAAGAATTTATCTACCACTGCATTCAAGCGGCCATTGAAATAATCTGAAAAAGATGAGGCAGGCTGATGGGGAAAGGCCAAGAGAATGGTGCTGAGTCAGGAAATGCATTTAGAATCATAGAGTGCCTCCAGTGTGGAAGCAGGCCATTTGGCTCATCAAGTCCACAATGGCCCTCCCAAAGCATCCCACCCATTTACCCTATCCCTGTAACCCTGCATTTCCCATGGCTAATCTACCTAACCTACACATCCCTGCACACTATGGGCAATTCAGCATGGCCAATCCACCTAACCTGCACATCTTTGGACTGTGGGAGGAAATCCACACAGCCACAGGGAGAATATGCAAACTCCACACAGTTGCCCAAGGGTGGAATCGAACCCGGGTCTCTGGCATTGTGAGGCAGTGCGGACATGATGGGCTGAGTGCCCTCCTCCAACTCCATATAAAGAATTTTTATTGCAAAAATGAACTTTATTCATAAAAAGAATCTTTATGTACATACACCTTTACTAAAGCATTTTGGCTCTGTACAGTCTTTACGTATGGACAACAAACAAACATCAGGGTTTGACTTTAGAGTTACAACAAACCCAAAGGCATTTCATACTTATGCAAGATACTATTTACGTGTGTTTACAACATGGGGAGAGTCTGCTAACTGAATGGACCCTTATTGTACTTTGGTAGAATGACCTCAGATGGTGTTCTTACCCCACTGCACCTTGGCTGCAGCTGCCCCAAGCTTTAGTTCATCTCTCAGCACTGAGTCCTGGACCTCAGAATGTGCTAGTCTGCAATACTCAGTTCAGGTCAACTCCTTGCACTGCATCTCTCCCCAAACATTCTTTGCAAAGATACACTGCAGCAGGAGACGCATGACAGTCTCTTTGCCAGCATGGCTGCTTGCAGAGCAGTGCACAGTGGCGCAGAGAATCCGGGCGTACGTGAACGATCTGATGGGCAGCGACCTTCTCACCACCAGCCAAAGCTGGTTGAAACGTCAGCTTTCCTGCTCCTCTGATGCTGCTTGGCCTGCTGTGTTCATCCAGCTCTACACCTTGCTATCTCAGATTCTCCAGCATCTGCAGTTTCTACTAACTCTGATCCAATTTCACTTCCCCGGGAGGAGTTCATTCATTCATTAGCACGCATGGGGGCGTGGCCAGTGACGCCAGTGGCCAAACACGTGGTCTTGGTCACATGGTACGAGGCTCCGCCACTCCCGGATTCGCGCTTCTACACAGCAGCCATTAATCGCTCGGTATTTATTCGCTGAAAAGAATTCAACAGACTAACGTAAAACCGCGTTCGCAAGTATTATGTATGTATAAAATATCAATTTATCATAGTCCGAGTGTGGCCGATTCTGTTGCCTTACGCGAATTCTCCCATTTACCTCAGGAGGGAGGGATTTCCGTGCGTTCGCGTATTTTGTGTGCGGGTACAGGTTATTCCGGTTGGGGCTGTCGCCTCCGTTGTCGATCCGCGACATCGGGGAACGTGTTTGAGAGAAAATTATGGGGCATGCTGGTGGTGGTGTTGGTGCGCAGGCGCGAGGGCTTGGCATTTCGGCGGCGGTGTCGGTGCGCAGGCGCGGGTCCATGGTGTGCCGGCTGCCTTGTCGCTGCGTCGGCGCGGGGATGGGTGTGGCATGCCGGTGTCGGTGCGCAGGCGCGGGGAGTGGCAGGGTGGGGGCATGTCGGTGCGCAGGCGCGGGGATTCGTGGTTGCGGGGAACGGGGTCATGTCGGGGCGCAGGCGCGGGACTGCCGGTGATGGTGCACGAGTGTATGAATGGAAGGGAGCTCAAAATGGAAATAGTCAAGCTCGGGGAGAACAGCCCTGTGAGGCTTGGAGTTCAGAATCAAATCTGGCACCAAGATTGTCCACACTGGCTTCACCTACTGTTGCTCATGCAGGCGGGAGCTCAGCAACAGGGTTTGGAGCGAGGATTGAAAACAATTACTTTAATCTACACAGCATTTAATTGGAGGAAATCCCTACTCATCCAGTGCTACTTGAAACCCAAATGCAGGGTATCTGGGTGTCACTGCTGGGCCAGCATTATTGCTCATGCCTAGTTGCCCTTGAGTAGGTGGTGATGAGCTGCCTTCTTGAACTACTGCAGGACATGTGCTAAAGGTTGACCCACAATGCCCTTAGAGTGGGAGTTCCAGATTTTGACACAGCAACAGTGAATGAACATCAATATATTACTAAGTCAGGATGGTGAGTGGCTGGAAGGGAACCTTGTAGGTGGTGGTGTTTCCATGTAACCACCCTTGTTCTCCTAGATGGAAGGTCTTGGAAGGAGCTGTTCAATAACTGCAAGAGCTGAGGGGAGGAGGAGGCAATAGTGGTTAAATTCGTTGGGATGACTCATTGTTTCTTTTGCTACTAACAAGTAAGTAGAATTGGGACTAAATGAGAACAGCCCCTGACGTCCCAGCTGGACACGAGTGGAGAGGTGTTCTATGAGGAAAGTGTGGTAGACAGGTTGAGCTGAAGAGGGAACAATTTTCTTCAGTCATCATGTCAAGAGGTAATCAGATGTAGAACTTGAGAAAGATGGGCATGAATTTGGGGCAGCAACATGTGCAGCAGCTTGAAAATTGGCAGGCACTGAGGGAGCTGGGTGTAGATTTTTTTGAGAGGCATGATGAGAAGTTTGAAGAGGAGTCGTAGTCGTAGAGATGTACAGCACAGAAACAGATGCTTTTGTCCAACTCGTCCATGCCAACCAGATGTCCTTAATAAATCTGGTCCCATTTGCCAGCATTTAGCCCATAACCCTCCAAACCCTTCCTATTCATATACCCATCCAGATGCCTTTTAAATGTTGTACTTGTACCAGTCTTCCCCCCCACTTCTCCAGCAGTTCATTCCATACACACACCACCCTCTGTGAAAAAGTTGCCCCCTCCTCACCTTAACCTATGCCCTCTAGTTTTGGAAGTTCCCACACCTATCCGTACCCCTCATGATTTTATAAACCTCTATGAAGGTCACCTCTCAGCCTCCAACGCTCCAGGGAAAATAACTCCAGTCTATTAGGCCTCTTGCTACAGCTCAAACCCTCCAACCCAGACAACATCCAAAGAGATACTATGAACTAACCTGTGAGGGGAAAAAAATGCTGGGAATCCCACAGTTTAGCAGGACAGGATTTGAAAAAAAAATGGAGGTGGGGAGGGGGTCTGATGGGCCACAGATGGCTGTGAGGAAAGTCACCACTTTGCTGTAGTTTTCCAGTGTTAATGCCATGCTGTCTATTTGTCTAGGTGACTGCATCTTCAACAACGAACTTACAGAATGGTCCAGTGGATCAAGCACAATGCGCTCCATCTCCCGTTGGTGTGCTTTAACTGCAGACTACTACACAGAGAATGGGTTGAAGAAAGTCTCCAAACCTGGCAAATGTACTGACTAGGAGATTGTGAGTACCCGGGATGGTACCAACTTCCAAGATGCGTCACCACTCCTTAATCATTCCTGAATGAAAATCCTGGAGCTTCCTAACTAACACCAAATTGACAACAGCAGTTTAACACTGCCTTCTTGAGGGAAAGCTGGAATGGTGCCTTCCCACTGACACCCATGTCCCAGTCATTAAAGGTGAGTGTACCACTGTTGTTCTTTTAGCCTTATGTTAGTGTCCAGGCTCTGTTGTGATTCTGAGTTGGATGATGCAAATGATGATTATTGGGAAATGTGATTTTACTGATCTTCAAAGTAAACGCTCTGATGCATCCTTCCGTGCACATGCATGTATTCAGCTGGTTATAGTTTAAGGTGCAGAATGTGTTCAGTTGGTGACAATGATCTGGGCACTGATGATTATTTCATGTTGTTGACAGAGGAACCCAGGACATGGACCCTGTGACCATTTAAATATGGTGAGTGATTTTTGAATACAATGGAATTCCATTTAGTGTTGCGGGGGGCGAGGTTGTGTTTTTCAGCATATATCTACCTGTTAATTTTTAGCAGCAGGATTTGAATGATTGACACTGTTTACATGTTGATTTCACCATGAAACTCCAAGTAAACGCTCTGATGTGTCCTGCAACTCTCAGGGACCGATTTCACCATTAGCTGTTCAAAAAATTGAGCTTTAGTCTTTTTAAACTTTACCTCGCATCACTCTTCTTCTGGTGTCTGTGTTTATCTGATTGCTGTACAAATAACTACAGATAACATTCACTTCTTGGGAATAAAATGGGTACATTGCTTCTGCCTGTTTGTGACTGAATTATCCCTAGTAGTCTCAGTATCTTGACTCCTTGTTTTAAAAACAATGCCTGTTTTAAGAGATAGTAGGAACTGCCGATGCTGGAGAATCTGAGATAACAAGGTTTAGAGATGAAACAGTTTGATAGTCAGCACTGGATTTCTCTGAAGAAGGGTCTCGACACGAAACGTCAGCTTTCCTGCTCCTCTGATGCTGCTTGGCCTGCTGTGTTCATCCAGCTCAACGCCTGTTTTAAGACTAAGGGTGGGTGAGCAGTGAATGCAAGGTGATTAGTCACCTTCATAAAGAATGATCTTAGTATTTAAAGTGATTTCTATTTATAATGACGGAGTGAGAATTCTGAAATAGGTTTACTTGCACTCTGACACCAGTCAGTTCAGAGATTAAATAAAGCAACTTCCTCGGCTATGCTGAACTGAAATTAACTCCTACTTATGAGTGAAAACAGGCTGGATCAGTGAGCACTACCACTAAGTCTGCAGCTCCGAGGAAATCCAGTGGCTGTCTCTCAAACTGTTTCAGCCTCAGATTGCACATACCCTTGCCCTGGTTTACTGAGGTTGAGAAAATGAACATAGGACATAGGAGCAGAAATTAGGCCATTCAGCCCCTTGAGTCTGCTCGGCCATTCAATCATGGCTGGTAAGTTTCTCAACCCCACTCTCCTGCTTTCTCACCATGACCCTTGATCCCCTTGACAATCAAGAACCTAGCTATCTCTGTCTTAGATATACTGAATGACCTGGCCTCCACAGCTTTCTGAAGTAATGAGTCCCATAGATCCACCACACTCTGGTTGAAAAGGTTTCTCCTTATCTCTTCTAAAAGATCTTCCCTTTACTCTAAGGCTGTGCCCTCCAGTGCAAGTCTCATCTGCCAGTGGAAACCTCTTCCCAACGTCCTCTCTGTCCAGGCCATTCAGTATTCTGTAAGTTTCAATTAGATCCCCCCCTCATCCTTCTAAACTCCATCGAGTGTAGACCCAGAGTTCTCAAACATTCTTCATATGTTAAGATTTTCATTCCTGGAATCATTCTCGTGAACCTCCTCTGAACTCACTCCAGGGCCAGTATGTTCTTCCTGAGATATGGGATCTAAAATTGCGCACAATTCTCCAAATGTGGCCTGACTAGAACCTTTAGAGCTTCAGAAGTACATCCCTGCTTTTATACTCAAGTCCTCGCAAAATAAATGCTAACATTGCATTTGCCTTCCTTACTATGGACTCAACCTGCAAATTTACCTTGAGAGAATCCTGGGCTAGAACTCCCAAGTCTCTTTGCACTTCAGCTTTCTGAATTTTCTCCCCGTTTAGAAAGTAGTCCATGTCTCTATTCTTTTTAACAAAGTGCATGACCTCACACTTTCCCACTTTGTACTCCATCTGCCACTTCTTTGCCCACTCTCCTAACCTGTCCAAATCCTTCTGCAGCTTCCTGACTCCTCAATACTGCCCGTCCCTCTACCTATCTTTGTATTGTCTGCAAATGTAGCCAGAATGCGCTCAGTTTCCTCATTTAGATCGTTAATGTATAAAGTGAAAAGTTATGGTCTCAAAAGTGACCCTTGTGGAACACCACTTGTCACTGGCTGTCATCCTGAGAAAGACCCTTTTATCCTCACTCTCTGCCAGACAGCCAATCTTCTATCCGTTCTAGTACCTTGCCTTTAACACCATGGGCCCTTATCTTACTCAGCAGCCCCCTGTGCGGCACCTTGTCAAAGGCCTTTTTGAAGTCCAGGTAGATAACATCCATTGGCTCTCCTTGGTCTAGCCTCCTTGTTACTTCCTCAAAGAATTCTGACAGATTTGTCTGGCATGACCTCCCCTTGATGAAGCCATGCTGACTTTGCCCCATTTTACCATACCCTTCCAAGTATTCAGAAATCTCATCCTTCACCATGGACTCCAAAATCTTACCCACGACTGAGGTTGGGCTAATCGCCCTGTATTTTTCTGTCTTTTGCCTTACTCCCTTTTTGAGCAGGGGTGTCACATTAACAATTTTCCAATCCTCCCAGGGACTCTTCCTTACTTTAAATGAATATTTAAAAGTTGTTCATTCATTGAAGGCAGGGATCCTCTGATTGCGAGCATCATCTGCTCAGGGGCTGTTTTTGTTCAACCTCATTCCTGGATTGAACAGTAATGAGGTTCTGACAAACCAGTAAATTTGGCAGTTTTAAAAGTGAGTTTGATAGATGGTTGGTGGATGAGGCTACTGAGGGTGTTGGAACCAAGGCCAGCAAATGGGGTTAGAATTCAGTCAACCATGACCTACTTGAATTGTGAAATAAGCTTGAGGGACTGAATAGCCTACCCCTCACTGTAAACTGTAGTGTCTGGGCAGGGCAAGAAGTGCAGCTGATTTTAAATCAGTGGCCTGATCTTGCATTGTTTGTTCCTTCAGCTCTGTCTATTGACAGAGCAGTGGACATCCTCTTATCAAGGATGATGTGTTCTGTAGGCTGGTGCAGAGCTGACCTTGCAGCCACACTGTCCACAGAACTGCTGGCATGTTGTGGACTAAACTCCAGTGTACAAGTTAGTTATTAGCTATTTTGGGTGTGGGTGTGGTAACTAGGAGATGTGATTTAAGATATTTTCTATTCAGCCTGTTCAGCGGTGTTAATACATACCAATGGACTAGGTGGAACTTGAACCCAGGCCTCCTGGCTTAGAGGTAGGGACACTGTGTCTGCACCACAAGAGTCCTGGAGGTATGTTTTAATACTTCGAGAATATTTGCCAGGTTTCAGTTCTGCTCTTGGGGACTGGGCTTGTGCCACCCCACCTGCAGTGTGTTCATAGCTTTTGTTGCTGTTTGATTCTCATTCTTGTTTTTAAGTTCCCCCTTAGCCTTACTACTCCCTATCTCTTAAATCTCCTTCAAGCCCCTCTAATTCTGGCTTCTTGTACCTTAACAAATTAAATCACAGTACAGCTGTTGTCTGTGCCTGCTCATTGCTGTGTGCAGGAATATGTAGATACTGGTACTTCAAATAGGGATTAACTGTGCCCACTATAAACATGCATACCGGTAGAGTTGTTCAGGAATGTCTCAAGAGTTTCCTATTTTATTCATTCCTGTCTGTCTGGCAATGTCTACTCTCCACTGTAATTCTGAGGCGTGACACAAATTTAACAAGTTAAATTGCTGAGGTCAGTCTTTCTCTAAGATCAGAAATGCTTTAAAGAAGTGCTTTTCATGTTTTCTCTTCTCTTCAAAGTGCTGCATTTTGATTTCAAATGACACTGTCTCTAATTTGCTCAACAGTGAAGGTTGTTCCCAAATTGGGACATGTGAAGCTTCTGATCTCTAAAGCAAGCACTTTAGCTCACAGGAGGATGTTGATGTTGGACTCTAGTTACAATTGGATTGCTACAGGGAGTATACCACCTTCCTCTTTCCTCAGACTGGAGTTCAGTTTAGGAGGCAGAATGTGCTCAGTTAATGGTACAATGGTTTGGACACTAATAATTATTTCATGTTGTTGACAGAGCGCATCTGAACAGGGAGCCTGTGGTTGTTACAGTATGTTAAGTGAACTGTGAATACAATAGAATTTCTACGAAACAGACAGTCCAGAAATTCTAATCAGGTTCCGTTCTTGAGTATATTCGTAAGTCAATTTGTACTCCAGTCAGATCACAGTGTAATACAATATAAAACAGCTGTTTGTAGACACGAGACATGTCAGGTTTTTAAAATTAATAAGAGATCTTGTTCCTAAGTCGACGTTTGTAAAATATCCCCAGTATAATATATCTGCTGTTTAATATTCAGGGGCAGGATGTGAATGATGACCAGGTTTACATGTTGATTTCACCATGAGGCTCAAAGTAAACGCTCTGTGTCCTTGCAACTCACTAGGAGCAGATTTTGCCATCACCTGCCCATGAAATGGGGCTTTAGTCCTAGCTGCTTGTATTGCTCATATCTCTGCTTATTTTAATTATTCCACAAATAATTGAAGATAAGAGCTGAGATCCAGGAGTGAATTGAGTGATTGCCCTTTGTGATCAAGGCAACATTTGACTGATGCAGCCTCATGGAGCTTCACTAAAATTGAAGTCAGTTGGAATTGAGGTGAAAGTTCAACACCAGTCTGAATCAGAAGAACGCAAAGGAAGATTGTGGATGTTTGAGGCTACTTATTTAAGCACCTTCTAGACATTGTTGCAGCAATTCCTCAATGTGTGTGTGAGTCCAGTCAGCATCACCTGCTTCATCAATGACCTTCCCTTATTCATGAGGTCAGAAGTGGAGCTGTTTGCTAATGGTTAGACTGTTTCTGGTATCATTTGCAACTCAATTTGGAAAGCAGCAGTTGTGTTCCCCAAATTGAAAGCAATGACCATGACTGACAAGTGGATCTAAACAGCTCTGAACGTTCTCCCATATCACCCTTGTGACCAGAAATGTGATTGTGCCAGTCGCACAGTTAGAGCAGGTCAGCAGAGATTGGGAATGTTGCACATCCTGACTCCATAAAGCCTGTTCACCATCTACAAGACATAAGTCAGAATTGCTGTGGAATATTTTGCACTGCCTAATTTAGTGTAGCTTGAGCAATGCTCAAGAATCTCGAACACCAGTACAGTTCAGCTTAATTTCATCTACCACCATTTACACCCTTCTTGATGCACAGTGGCAACCATGTGTACCACCTACAAGGTGCGAAGTCCCTCTGAATCCCATGATTACTACCATCTGGAAGGACAAGGGCAGCAAATACATGGGAACACCACCCCCTGCAAGTGTCCCGCCCAAACAGTCCTCACCATGAACTATATAGACATGGCATAGCTGTCACTGGGTCAAAACCTTGTTACTCCCTCTCCTAACAATTCTGTATGCGTTCTTGCACCACATGGATCACAGTGATTCAAAACTGAGGCTCACCAATACCTTCTGCAGGGTAAATGAGGATGGCTAACAAATGCTGCTGTTCGTGATAACCGAGATCAAAAAAATTAATGCAAAATAATATCTAATGCACTGCTCTATCCTTGGGAACTTTTTCATCTCCAGCCTGACTGAGTAAGTAAACAGTGTAGAAACAAGAGACTCCTTGTTTGGAACTAGGGATGTATGTGGTGGATGCAACATGATTGGTGCCTGATCATCTCTGTAAAGTATGGTTTTGGTCTTTGGGGTGTTTTACATTGCCTGTGACCAGTTAGGGAAACTATCTAAAATAAGTTTGTTACTCTCCATTTTCACTATTCAGTTCGCAGCGCAGAAATGTTATTCTGTAAAACCAGTGCTGTTTGGACAAATAGCTCATTAGGCTGGGCTGATGCTAACTCTTGTTTATGTTGTGATACATTAAGGACTATCAACACTGGATCAATGAGCATTTACTGTAAATTTGCTGCTCCTTAGGAATCCAGGCCAGAATGCTTTGTCACAGATTTCACAAACCTTGACCTGGTATTATGGTTGACTGAAGTTGAGAGAATGAACGTTTAAAAACAGACAATTCTGTTTAATTTTGGGGAGTTGGGGTTGCTGGCTGGACCAGTTTATTTCCCATCCCTAGTTGCCCTTGAAGGTGGTGGTGCTGTGTTTTCTTGAACTGCCACAGTCCATTTGGTGTGGTATCAATCAGTGACACTGAAGGAACAGCTATCTTTTTCTGACTCGGAATGGTGAGTGGCTTGAATGGACGTTTTTGATTCCCTTGCACAAACAAAAAAAACTTTTTAACTACCTTTTGAAGTTGCTTGGGATGTTTTCAGGTGTAATAAAAAACAAATGAACACCAAGCTAAAGAAGGAATCAGTGCACATGATTGGCTCCACCTAGTGGAGAGCCGTTATTTATTCTGTGTACTGATGTCCTTTCTCGTCATTTACTCAGGTTTAGTCCTAATTCTGGTCAGTTGGATGCAATTTAAACTTTGAACAGAATTTGCTGAGACCATTATTTTTGCTGTAAGAAATTAAGATTATTTTGAACAGAAGTACACCTGACACTTCTGTTTCTGTTTAAAAATACAGGTTTTCATTTCAAATGACACTCTCATTTGTTCAGCAGTCAAGGCTATTCCATTAAACCAAAATAGATTTGGACCATTCCATAACAGGAGATGAGATGTGCTGATCTAGACTGTGTAGAATTTCCCAAAGTTGTCTTGGTCTATCTATCTCTTGCATGTGTAGAAATGCAGCTGCCTACAAACAGATGTAGTTTTCATCAAATGAAATGTCAAAATCACAAATTGTGTACTCTGACCATTTGAACTAATGTTTTTTTTGTTTTTGGAGTCTTTTTGCATCCTATTGGTGAGGTCAGGATAACCCCATCAGAAGTTTCCATTGGGATTGGTAAAAGTAGACATGAATGCAAGTAAACAGCTCATGGACCTATTGTAGTCACCAAGTCTTTATCAAAAAACAACCACTTAACTAGTCTAATCTCATTTTCCAGCACTTGGTATCGTGAGTGGATATCTAAATACTACTTCAGTGTTCTGAGGGTTTCTGGCTATACCACCCTGACAGGCAATGAGTTCCAGATTCCCACCACCCTCTGGGTGAAAAAGTTTTTCCTTGCATCTCCTCTGAACCTTCAGCCCTTGATCTTAAATTTATGTATGAGGGTCATTCATCCCTCGGGAAAGGCTTCTTCCTGTCTGCCATATCTATGCCCCTCATAATTTTATACATCTCAACCTCCACTGCTCTCAGGAAACCAGCCCCAGACTGTTCAAGAACAAAAACAGAGTTGCTGGAAAAGCTCAGCAGGTCTGGCAGCATCTGTGGAGGCGAAAACAGAGTTAACGTTTCGGGTCTGGTGACCCTTCCTCAGAACCGGACCCGAACGTTAACTCTGTTTTCTCCTCCACAGATGCTGCCAGACCTGCTGAGCTTTTCCAACAACTTTGTTTTTGTTCCTGATTTACAGCATCCGCAGTTCTTTTGGTTTTTACCCAGACTGTTCAATCTCTCTTCAAATCTGAAACTCTCAAGATGAGCCGACATCCTGATAAATCTGCTCTGCATCCTCTCCTAGTGCCATCACATCCATCCTATAATGTGGATTTCAGAACTACATGCAACATCAGCTGTGGTCTAACCAACATTTTATACAGTTCCAGCATCGCCTCCTTGCTCTTAAACTCTGTGCCTGTGCTAGTAAAGACAAGTATACCATACGCCGCCTTAACCACTTTATCTACCTGTTCCCCTACCTTAAGGGATGGGTGTACAAACACACCAAGGTCCCTCAGATCCTTGGTGCTTCCCAGGGTCCTAATGTTCATCATTCATAATTCCTTTGCCTTGTTTTCCTGCCCAAGTGAATTGCCTTACATTTATCTCGATTTACCTGTAATTGCTTTCAAAATTTTTGGGTATGCTGGGGTGCAGATTAATCCAGATTAGACTTGAGTTCACTTTAGCAGGTAGGATGTGATCAGTTGATATGAAGGCATGGGCCCTAATAATGATTTCATGTTATTGGCAGATGAAGCCTGGGCATGGAGGCTGTGATCACATGAGCATGGTAAGTGAATTGTGAATGCGATGAAATTGTTTAAATATATCTGCCTGTTAATTTTCAGCAGCAGGATGTTCATGATGACACTGTTTACATTTTGATTTCACTATGACACTGCAAGTAAACGCTCTGATGTGTCCTGCAGCTCAATGAACAGATTTCACCATTAGCTGCCCAGGAAGTAGAAATTACACATATAAAGCTCTATCTTGTTCCCTCATTATTTAGTCACTCCATAGATTCTGAAGAATAAGTGGGAGGGCATGTGATATAGAAAAACTGGGCAATACTTCTGATCAGATTAGATTAGATTAGTAATGCTTATAATGGAGGATAGTGACAGATCAAAACCTGAACTGTGGCTAAACCAAAGACTAAGTGCAGAGACATCAATGACTAGCTAATTGTATGTGGTGCTATTGCATTAATACGGCCAGTACAAAGGCAGGACCAAATGTGCAGACTAACGAAAGGTGGGAGTTCCAATGAAAGGAGATGGGAGGTGCTTAAGTGATTTTTAAAGTTCTCTTCCCCAGTTACTGACCTGTCTGTTCTATTTTACAGATGCTGACTGTGGCCCTGTGGTGTATCTTTGTGGGTTCTGATTTATCAGAATTCATGTCTATGAACAACTTTTAATATAACTCCATAAATCGTGTCTATTAACCCATTAATTCTTGGTTATAATACTAACTGCAGATTTCCATGTGCCAGCCACCACCAGTCCCCCCCCCATTCAAACTAATTCAGGGGCTTGCTTCTGTATCAGGTTACAACCACTTCAATTTGCGGTTACACCCCACTTGAAAGTGCAGTCATCCATAAAGTGCTATGTAAACAACCCCACTTAACAAGACCCACATTCCATTCAAAGGTGCGACAGCTAACAAAACTGTGCAGATACTACAGGATGAAGCCTTTTTGCACCCCCACACCAAAAATAGTGTTGTTTGATATTAAAATCCAACTGTGAATAGGTGCTAAATAAGTGCCGTTTATCTTCTCCCTCCAGCTAGAGTAGCTCCAAGTATCAGTCAAAGGTGATAATTGGATTAGAGACAGTAGGAACTGCAGATGCTGGAGAATCTGAGACAACAAGGTTTAGAGCAGGATGAACACAGCAGGCCAGCAGCATCAGAGGAGCAGGAAGGCTGACGTT